ATATCTATCTTTTTTTTTATATAAAAATATATTTATTTATAACGATAAATTCAAAATTAACATAACATGAAAATCAACTTTAACAAAATTAAAAATCAAGAGATGAGACGAACAGCGTTTACCTTTGTCTTAAGGACTCAAGTTGTGTACTGAAAAGGAATGGATGGAGATCTGAGAATTTTTGGAGAAAGGGCTGGAATTGAAGATGGATTCTCTCTAATTTCCTAGGCATTGTTGGATGCTTGACCTTTTGCAATTGGAGGTCCCACTTACAGAGAAGTAGAGGCCAAATGAGAAGCGTCTTCTACGTTTTCGAAGAGAGTCAAAAAAGAAAGGTTAAAACCTACTTTAGTCACTGTAGTTTAATAAAAAGCCTTTTTTATTCTCAACTTAAAACAGTTTCTTTGTAGTCCTTAAGATTTATTTTTTTTATTCTTCTTTAATTCTTGAAATTTATTTTTCTGACTCAATGATGGAATATCCGCATCATTAGTTTGAATGGAAAAATAGGAAAGTTCTATCAAGTAATGCATCAGGTACGAGAATAGAAAGACTAAAAATTTTTGAAAAAATAAACTTTAGGACTGAATTGTAGATGTTTTCAATTAAGCACGAAAAAGGACCCTATAAAAAGGTTAAGGGATCAAAATGAGATTTTAACATTTAATAAAAAATACGCGTCATATGAGGGAAAAAAAACGCGCGGACACTTTTTTGTTCGACGGCACGTGTTTTTGGTCTTGGTCAGACTCCCGCATGATCTGACTAGAGTAATTCATACGTGGGAAATGTTTTTTTTTTATAACTTTTTTATTTTTTTATATAATTTAATGTGTCATTAAAATGATTAATTTTTTTAATTTATATGAGATTTATAATATTAAAAATTCATGATATTAAATATATCTACTCATTTAATAACATATAAAAATTATATAAAAAAATAAAATAAAAAATTATCTTAATAACATTACCCTTTATATGTTGATATAAGTGCACCAAACCTTGAAACTCCATTGTTTTTTATTTTTTTCATTAATAATTACATTTTTTTTAAAAAAATGAGGGAGAGAAATGAAATCAAGAATCCTTGAATTTTAGCTAAATTGGTAAAAAGCAGTAATGTTTTCACTCATCTCAGAGGTTCTTGAAATTCAATTAATTTTTTTAATAGAATTACATATTGAGAGTTTTTAGAAAAAGAAAAAATTTAAATTCAAATTAAGTGAAAAACTCTATATAAAAGATAATCACTTACTATATATTCAAAACTTCTCTTAAAACTCAATTGATTTTTTTTTTTCAACATTTTACAATTTGGAAGATGATGAATTTTTTCAAAATATTGACTAGATTCAAAATCTCCATTAACTAATCTATATACCCTAAAATTTGAGAAGAAACCACTTAGACTCAAAAATTCCTATTCTTAAAACTCAATTGATTGGCACAGGCGGGTACCAAAGTTTTAATTACGGCCGTATAGACATCGTCTTTTCTCTATCCCAAATTATAACCGTTTAAAAAAAAATAAAATTATGTTGTTATAAGCGGTGGTCAGTCTGGACACCCGGTCCCCGGTTGTGGGGCATCGGGGTGATCCATTAGGAGCCACAGCTGCGCCAGGTCTCTTCCAATCTTTGTTGGGCTTTGCTATTGTAGCAGTAAATAATTGATTCTAAAAGCCCATAGGAAATTGCTGGGTGCACCCTCGTTGAGCTTCGTATGACCCAACTGCTACCACTCTTCTCTGCTCAATAAATAATTTTTACACTTTTATTTCTTATAAATTATAAATCAGAGTGTTTTATATAATTAAAATTGTTTTAAATTATAAAATATTAATCTTTAGATG